CTAAACCTCCGACATTTCTAAACTTCTAATGCATCTCGATTTCCGAACTTCCGATGGTAAGTGTTTGAGCATGTTTGTAATAAATTAGGTTCCTCTGGAAAGAAAGAAAATAATGTTAAGTAATACGATTCACTAATTTTCCAAAACTTCCTCTACGTCCGATTTCCTTACTACTGACAACGTTAAAAGAGTCAGATTGTTCTTACTGTCAAACGCATGCGGCTGAACGCGCTAAATCCAAATCTGCATTTCTGATTTGCTTTATGCCGCTTTGGAAGGAAATCACAATATTTTTCTACCCGAGACACCGTAACGACGCGTCGCTTCGCTCAGTAATTTGATTAAAAAAGGAAATGATTTCCCGTTCATAATTTAAAATTAGAATTCCAGTGTAAAATGGACCTTGGCTTGTTATTCAGGATCGATTTCTAGGGGTCGGACAAAAACTTAGAGTTGTGCACGTTACTTTCAGGAAAAGTGCACAAGAGGTGCATGACAGAGATAGATTAAGAGTTAGCGTTCCGAGTAAAGCACTAGATGTTTATCGTTTTCAATATTTACCTCAAGCAATCAAACTATATATCTACATATCTGAGCTAAAATTTTCACCGAATGGTTTTTCAACTTTTGCTGGGGTTGTTAGCATAGTAGGATCACATGAGATATAGGCAATTTCTATGATCACAGGATATACGATGCTCACGAACTCCTGCCACTGCATGACTATAGGTAACTCTTTTACTGCAATTTATGAAAATCAAATTGCAAGACGAGGCAACTCTAACTTCCAGCAGAAATGATTTATGAGTCCCTTCCATGAAAAAAAAACATCAACTTTCAAAGTGGTTATGCATGCCTCTCAGAATGATTATACTGAGCATACCAGGTAATCGTCTTAGTTTTAACTTGAGCCATCACGCTTTGCTGGGGAATCGGTTGAATTTTCGTACGCGCTTCTTGAACACTTATTCTAAGTGAGAAAAATTGCTGAAATTTATTCTAGTTATCGTAATTCTTTGAAACCTCTTGTTAATGTTTTTTTTTAAACGAAAAAATCCGGTCATAGTTGTCAGTCAAAAAAATATTCTAAAGTTTCTGCTTACAACCTTGTTGCCAACAAAAAAGCATTTTACGAAACATGTGAGTCCACTGAAAATTGAAGAAACCTAAAAGTAAGCAAGGAATTTCTTTGTCAATTGAGTACTATCGATAACGAATCTCTCTAGATTTGCATAAAAATCTAATTTTTCAGAGAAAAAAAGGTAGCAAGCTGGTATTAGTGATTGCGAGTTTCTTTAAAATCTTTCAATGATCTTACGATTTCTACGAAAATACAAATTTACATGTAAAATCGAGACTATTACTTTGCGCATAATAAGCCTGTACCGCAGATACTTTGTATCCGATAGCGTGTATGAATGAATTATCGATATCCGCCTTCAAGGAAGTTCAACTCAACATTTTCGAAAAAGTTAGTTATGATTTTCCCCATTTAGCATTGAACAGCACGAAAACGAAATGCCGCTGTGTACGACCGAGGTGTCGTTTTCCGAGGCTGCCCTTGTTCTGCTGTTACGTGACAACGAATAGTTGACTAAAAACGGGTTTCTTGAACACAGTGGCCCGCGCTTGATTATGTGATAATGCCATTTGCCCTTATCATTTTCATTATGGTCGTCATGCTTTAATGAAAAACCTTGATTTTCCCGCCGCATTTACTAGCACTTGACCTTTTAAACTAAGGGCGTAAAGAAGGGCAACAAGTGAAGTATGATTGGTACGAAGCTACAGGAACTACATAGATTTAACAAAAGAGAACCCTAGAAAAATACTTGGACCAACAAACCTATAGCAGTTGTGCCTCCGGTACTCTCTAAGTCTGCAACTGCACGTAACACGTCGGCTTGCGTCTTGTACTTCTTTAAATTAAATCTCGTTCGAGTTCTACCGACCGTGGCAAACGTCACCACTGCAACCTAAAAGCAGAAATTACCAACTACTCGAGAAATATTCCCTGCTCTGAGTCGATCCTTTGGTTTCCAATGAATTTTGGGAAAGAGTGAAGGGGAGGGCGGAAAGGGGGAAGGTTAGAATGGCAGGAAAAGGGGATCAAAAGTTATTATAAATCAAGGACGGAGATAGCGAATTCTAGATTATACTGCCGTAAAACTGTTGTTGTTAGATTGGCCGACAAAATCAAATGCGGTTTCTTCATTTTTCCAGGCTTGCCAAGTAAATTTGTTTTGGAGTAAGGAGTTCATTAATATAGAGCTATGCAGTTATCTGAGTAAAGATCAAGCTATGTTAAGTGAAAACTATGCCACAGAACACTGGAATTTGTGCTTGAAGCTGCTGCGAAGCTTGGTAAAAGAATTATAAAACATTTCATGATATATTGTTAAGTGGATGCTTTAGTAAGCAATGTCACATTCACAAAGTAGAGCACGATAGTAAGCAAATAGTAGTACTAGGACATTTTTATTGAATGACTTTATTCAAAAGAGCTCTCAAAGATCACTGTTCAATAGATAAGATTGCGTGAAATTAGTATGATTAAATTTACTAAGATTGTTGTAAATAATTGTTACAGCTCAGTGAACAAAGCCTTTTCGTACCTGAGTGTAATGGGGACCAATTTTGAGAGCATTGATTAATCGCTGACATAATTCCTTGTAGTATCGCACTAGCGGGTCCGTTGTAGTTGAGAAGTCAAGGACAAGAACAAGATCCATTTCACAACCTTAAAAGTAAGGTATTTGAGAATAGCTTTGAGTAGTAAAACAGGCCAGAATAGAAAGGGTAGAAGCTTTACCTGCATCTTCTTCTAACTAATGGCTAAAATGAAATATCATAAGCATATTTAATAAAATACAGCGGTTTACTTTAATATATTTGCCAAATAAAGTATTTGAAATATAATATGTTTTTTGTGAAGCACATCATAAACTGAAAAGGTAGATTGTTGCAAGGAGCCTATATGT